GGTGCAGTGGCTTACGCCTGTAATCCCAGCACTTTGGAAGGCCGAGGTGGGTGGATCATGAGATCAGGAGTTCAAGACCAGCCTGACCAACATAGGGAAACACCGTCTCTACTAAAAATACAAAAATTAGCTGGGTGTGGAGGCGCGCGCCTGTAATCCCAGCTACTGAGGAGCCTGAGCAGGAGAATCGCCTAAACCCGGCAGGTGGAGGTTGCAGTGAGCTGAGATAGTGCCAGTGCACTTCAGCCTGGGTGACAGAGTGAGACTCCATCTCAAAAATAAATAAACAATTCCAAAACACAGAGAATGAGAGAATACTTCCAATCTCATTCTAAAACACAGAGGATGAGAGAATACTTCCAATCTCATTCTATGAGACTGGCATTACTCCAAACACCAAAACCAGACAAGGACACATCAATAAAAGAAAACCACAGGCCACTATCTCTGATGAACATAGATGCAAAAATCTCAACAAAATACTAGTAAACTAAATTTAACAATACGTTAAAAAGATCATTCATCATGACCAACTGGGATTTATCCCTGGGATGCAAGGATGGCTCAACATATACAAATCAATCAATGTGATACAGCCTGTTAACAGAATGAAGGAAAAAAATGTCTAGTTTCAGTTTGAAATAAAAACCTTTTATTTCAGTTGATGCTAAAAAGGTATTTGATAAAATTCAAAATTTACTCATGATAAAAACCCTCAAAATCAGGGGATAGAAAAAATATACCTTAACATAATAAAAGCCATATATTATAGACCTACATCTAGTATTATACCGAATGGGGAAAAACTGAAAGCCTTTCCTCTAAGATCTGGAACGTGACAGGGATGCCCATCATCATCATTGTTATTCTGGAAGTCCTGGCTAGAGCAATCAGACAAGAGAAAGATACAAAGGGTATCCAATTTGGAAAGGAAACAGTTAAATTATCATTGTTTGCTGATGATATGATCTTATATTTAGAATAAACTAGACTCAAGAGAAAACTATTAGAACTGATAAAGTTATTAGAATTGTAGGATCCAAAATCAACATACAAAAATTAGTAGCATTTCTATATGCCAACACTGAACAATCTGAAAAAGAAATTTAAAAAGTAATCCCATTTACAAGAGCTACATATAAAATTAAATACCTAGGAATTAACCAAAAGAAGTGAAAGGTCTCTATAATAAAAAGTAAAATACACTGGCCAGGCACGGTGGCTAATACCTGTAATCCCAGCACCTTCGGAGGCTGAGGCAGGCAGATCACAAGGTCAGGAGTTTGAGACCAGCCTGGCCAACATGGTGGAACCCCATCTCTACTAAAACTACAAAGATATTAGTCAGGTGGTGTGGTGGCACACACCTACAATCTTAGCTACTCAGGAAGCTGAGGCAGGAGAATTGCTTGAACCTGGAAGACGGAGGTTGCAGTGAGCTGAGATCATGCCACTGCACTCCAGCCTTGGCAACAGAGTGAGATTCCATCTCAAAAAAAAAAAAAAAAAAAAAAAGAAAGAAAAGAAAAAATACACTGAAGAAAGAAATTGAAGAGGACACAAAAAAATGGAAAAATATTCCATGTTCACGGATTGGAAGAATCAATTTTTTTTTAATTTTTTTTTTTTTTTAAAGATGGGGTTTCACCATGTTGGTCAGTCTGGTCTCCAACTCCTGACCTCAGGTGATCCACTCACCTCAGCCTCCCAAAGTGCGGGATTACAGGTGTGAGCCACCACGCCTGGCCTAACATTGTTTTTTTATTTTTTATTTTTTAACTTTTTATTTATTTATTTTTTTGAGACAGACTTTCTGTTGCTCAGGCTGGAGTGCAGTGGTACAATCTGAGCTCACTACAACCTCCACCTCCTGGATTCAAGTGATTCACCTGCCTCAGCCTCTTGAGTAGCTAGGATTACAGGTGTGCACCACCAGGCCCTGCTAATTTTTGTATTTATTTAGTAGAGACGGGGTTTCACCATGTTGATCAGGCTGGTCTCGAACTCCTGACCTCGTGATCCACCTGCCTTGGCCTCCCAAAGTGCTGGGATTACAGGTGTGAGCCACCACACCCAGCAGAAGAATCAATGTTGTTAAAATGTCCATACTACCCAAAGCAATTTGCAGATTCAATGCAATCTCTATTAAAATACCAATGACATTCTTCACAGAAATAAAAAAAAGCAATCCTAAAATTTATATGTAACCAAAAAAGATCCAGAATAGCCAGAGTTATCTTAAGCAAAAAAAAACAAAACTCGAGGAATCACATTACCTGACTTCAGATTATACTCTAGAGTTATAGCAATGAAAACAGCATGGTACTGGCATAAAAACAGACACAGACCAATGGAACAGAATAGAGAACCCAGAAACAAATCCACACACCTACAGCAAACTCATTTTTTGACAAAGGTGCCAAGAACACATAGTGGGGAAATACAGTATCTTTAATAAGTGGTGCTGAGAAAACTTCATATCCATATGCAAAAGAAGGAAACCAGACCCCTCTCTCGATGTATAAAAAAGTCAATTTAAAATGGATTAGGGCCGGGCGCAGTGGCTCACACCTGTAATCCTAGAACTTTGGGAGGCCAAGGTGGGTGGATCACTAGAGGTCAGGAGTTCGAGACCAGCCTGACCAACATGGTGAAACCCCATCTTTAAAAATAAAAAAGAAAAATAATAAATAAATAAACAAAATGGATTAAAGACTTAAATCTAAGACCTCAAACCATGAAACTACTGCAAGAAAACATTGAGGAAAACCTCCATGACACTGGTCTGGGCAATGACTTCTTGAGCAATATCCAACAAGTACAGACAACCAAAGCAAACATGGGTAAACTGGATTGCATAAAGTTAAAAAGCTTCTGCACAGCAAAGGATACAATCACCAAAGGGAAGAGACAACCCACAGAATGGGAGAAAATATTTGCAAACTACCCCTCTGACCAGGGAATAATAACCAGAATATATATATAAGGAGTTCAAACAACTCTATAGGCAAAAATATAATAATATGATCAAGAAATTGGCAAAATATTTGAATAGACATTTCTCAAAAGAAGACACAAATGGCAAACAGGCATATGAAAAGGTGCTTAGCATCACTGATTATCAGAGAAATTCAAATTAAAACTACAAGATATCATCTCACCACAGTTAAAATGGCTTATATACAAAAGACGGGCAATAACAAATGCTAGTGAGGATGTGGACAAAAGGGAATACTTGTACACTGTTGGTGGGAAAGTAAATTAGTATAACACTATGAAGCAAAGTTTGGAGGTTCCTCAGAAAACTAAAAATTGAGCTACCATATGATCCAGCTAACCTACTGCTGGGTATATACCCAAAAGAAAGGAAATGAGTATATCAGAGAGATACCTGCACGCCTGTGTTTCTTGCAGCAGAGTTTACAACAGCTAAGATTTGGAAGTAACCTAAGTGTCCATCAACAGATGTTTGGATAAAGAAAATGTGGTACATATACACAATGGAATACTATTCAGCCATAAAAAATGAGATCCTGTCATTTGCAATAATATGGATGGAACTGGAGATCACTATGTTAAGTGAAATAACCAGGCCCTGAAAGACTAGCATCACATGTCCTTACTTATTTGTGGGATATAAATAACAGAACAATTGAACTCATGGACACAGAGAATAGAAGGTTACCAGATGCTGGGAAGGGTAGTGGGGGATTGGGTAGTGGAGGTGGGGTTGGCTAATGGGTACAAAAAATAGAATGAGTAAGATCTTCTATTTGATACCACAATAGGGTGACTTATATGGTTTGGATTTTTGTCCCACCCAAATCTCATCTTGAATTGTAATCCCCATAATCCCCACATATCTGGGGAGAGACTTGGTGGGAGGTGATTGGATGATGGGGGTGGTTTTCCGTATGCTGTTCTTGTGAAAGTGAGTGAGTGCTTATGAGATCGGATAGTTTTATAAGGGGCTCTTCCCACCAGCCCTGTGGTGGTGCATGCCTGTAGTTCCAACTACTCGGGAGGCTGAGGCAGGAGGGTCACTTGAGCCTGGGAAGTTGTGGTACAACGAACCATGATCATGCCACTGCACTCCAGCTTGGGTGACAGAATAGTAAGATGCTGTGTCTAAAACTGTGTAGCCAGTAAAATCCTTGACTGGCAAAATTTTCTTTATCAGCTTTCTTTTTAAAAAATTACATAAGTAAAACATATATCTTTAGTTATTATCTCTTTAATCAGATTACCTTCTGTAATAATTCTTTGGGAATTATTCTACAGGAGGGCAGTCATTCACGCCTGTAACCCCAGCACTTTGGGATGCCAAGTCAGGAGGATTGCTTGAGCCCAGGAGTTTGCAACCAGCGTGGTCAACGTAGACCCTGTCTCTACCAAAAAATAAAAAACAAACAAACAAACAAACAAAAAACGGGCATGGTGGCGTGTACCTGTATTCCACGCTATTTGGGAGGCTGAAGTGGAAGGATCCCTTGAGCCCAGGAGGTCAAGACTGCAGTGGGCCAAGACAGCACTACTGCATTCACGCCTGGGCAGCAGAGTGAGGCCCTGTCTCAATAAAAACCCACAAAAAACTATGGGGGCATCGTATGGTTGCCAGTGAATAAGGTTACCAGATAAAAAACAGGACGCACAATTAATTCAGCTAAACAAGGACTGTATATTTTTAGTGTAAGTATATCCAAAATATTGTTGAGGTATACTTACACTAAAACAAGTATTCATTGTTTACCTGAAATTGAAATTTAAATAGCCATCCTATATTTTCGTTTGTCAAACCTGGCAATCCTACCAGCTCTTTAACACGAAGCCATGAGGTTTGTCTAGATTCATGCTGGTAGGTAAGCACCAATCCATTCAGTTGCCTCAGACGGAACAAATGCCATTCTCCCTAAAAGAATCGTTTAGTGTGACGGTAGGTAACAACGAAGCACGGAAGAAACTTGACCCTTTGAGGAACCCGTAACAGACGCAAGTGCCTTAAATGCTACTTTGATTGATTTCCCCGCCCCCTCCATTCTTCTTTTCCGCAATTGCTCTATCACTTCTTTCCTCTCAAGTCCCGCCCTTACAGCTACCTCCGACTGCAGAGGAACCGGTTGCCTAAAAGGAGCCGGCAAAAGCGCCTACGTGGAGGCGAGAGGAGCGGAAGTAGTCAGATTTGACTGAGAGCCGTAAAGCGCGGCCGGCTCTCGTTTTCCGGATAACGACTACAGCTCCGACTGTCAGTGCCGGCCTTCCTCGTGTAAGGGGATCTGCCGGACCCTTGCAAATTCAATTTCGTTCCCATTCCGGGCCCTTCCCTATCGTCGCCCCCTTCACCTTGGATCATGTTCAAGAAGTAAGGACATGCTGTGGCCTCCATCGGCTGCTCACAAAGGCGGTGGGGTGGGGGTGGGGAAGAGGGCGAGAGCTAAGATCCTCTTTCTCTCTCCCCCGCCCCTGCCATCCTGACTCCCTAAGGTTTTCTATAGTACTATGCTCTAACTCGCAACTTGAACACTTCTTTAAGCTTTCCATCCGTAGTCCTCAATCGGGTTTCGTTCCCTTCACTCCCATTGTTTTTTCTCCTTACCCCTCTTTCTCTTTTGCCCCCTCCCCCGATTCCGTCTCCATTCCTAGGGTTCTACCAATCACATCCGTGCACTGTGATTTAGGGGCATATCCTCTTTAGCTGAGAGGGGAGCCCTGCGCTCACTGCCATATGTTTATTAGTTATGAACTGAATAAAGGAAGGCTTGACTTCCTGGGTCATGGGAGTGAAGGAGTCTGGGTGACAGGAAGCAAGCGGCCTGTCATGCCTATTGCCTAGCTGCCAGATTAACCTTGCCTTGAAAATAACGTGATTGCCCCATAAGCTATTCAGTGTAAGGAAGACAAAAATTCCTTGGGAACCTACTAGTGGGTTTGCCTTCCAGATTTGGTAGACGCAAAAAGCAAAGGGGGAACATGGGCAAAGGAAGGTGGGTTTTTTGCGTGAAATTTTGAGCAAGAATAAATAGGGATCTTATAAATCATTATCATCATCACTTTAAAAAAATTCTCAGCAGATTACATAGCCTAGCAGGGGCCGATTTTCTGTGTTATGCTTGGGTTGGTCTTTTGTATCAGTTGAGGGTTTTGTTTTTTGATCACAGGTTTTATTATTGGTGGGAGGCTGTGTTTCTTCCTGGGTAGAATTGAGTAAGATTTTCCAGGAAAGGCATTTGTGTAGCTAATTAGAGATTATGGTGCAAAGTGTGTCTTATATTCCTCTCCCCAACCCCAGCTAATTGCTGTATACCTGACAGTTTATTTCAATATTGTATTAAGACATTGGTTTTGTGCTGGACAGAGTAAAAGGGAGGTGGTATTTTTTTTGAAAAAAACAACATTTCGTAATTACTTTAAGTATCTAAATACTTGCTTGGGAATACTAGTTAGAACAATACCTTTAGGTATTATGATACCTCTACTTAGAAATCCCTTTTTCTTTTCTTGCAAAAATTACTTGGCAGATTTGATGAAAAAGAAAATGTGTCCAACTGCATCCAGTTGAAAACCTCAGTTATTAAGGGTATTAAGAATCAGTTGATAGAGCAATTTCCAGGTATCGAACCATGGCTTAATCAGATCATGCCTAAGAAAGATCCTGTCAAAATAGTCCGATGGTAAGTCTTGTTTTTGTCTGTGTAAAGCTTGGAGTAGCTGAATATTTAATGATTAGATTGCACTCATATTAAATGGAATTATTTTCAGATTATTGATAGATTAATGATGGGAATAGACACAGAATAACTCTGAAACTCCAATATTTGTATTTTCATAGATTTTCTATGTCCTTGAAAAAAATGTGGCTTTGTGTATTGATTGTTTTATTAAAGAGTTAAATGTTTTAATTCAGAGTTGGATTTAATTTATTTCAGTTTGTTCTTTAGAGAATTGTTTTATTGAATTATCTAACAATGGAATTAAAATAATAAAATGTGAAATAAAATTGGTTGTAGCAGGTCATATTTTTCTTCTCTGCTGGACTTCTATGGTAGGAAAAACAATGTAAACAATATTTTTTGGCCAGGATTTTTACTGACTTTTTTTTAAAGTTTATTTTATCACTATATATGCATTTTTATGTTGTGAATTTTTGAAAGAAAATATCTAACTTAGTACTTTGTGACATTTGTCTTTCAGCCATGAACATATAGAAATCCTTACCGTAAATGGAGAATTACTATTTTTCAGACAAAGAGAAGGGCCTTTTTATCCAACCCTAAGGTTACTTCACAAATGTAAGTTTTTTTATTTTTATTTTTTGAACTATTTACTTGTACTGCATAATTCAAATGTAAAGTCTTGTAAGAAATATGCATTTAATCAGATGAGACCCCGCTGTGGGGATAAAACAGAAATATGCATTTGGGGATACTGAAAGACACAAAAAGAGTTTAAAGTGGCTTCTGATAGCTAACTCATTATTTATTAGTACTAGGTAATAAGGGATGTAAAACTAAAATGAATGCCCATCTTGCGGTAAATCTGAAAAATGCTCATGCATTCCAGAAAGCCCAAGAAAGAGCATTCATTCATTCATTCATTCAACATGTATTTATTGAACTTACTGTGTGCTAGGCACTCACTAGGTGCTGAGAATACAATAGGAAGCAAAGACAGACATTGTCTCTGTCCTTATGAAACTAATAGTCTAGTTTGGAGAATAAACAACAATTAGGTAATTATACAAATATGTATTTACAAACTGTGATAAGCATTGTGAGCGTTTCCATCTTTTATATTTGTATCTATTTGCCCAATAGAGAAAAGTCTATATATGGGAAAGCATTGGCTAGATGTCCTTCCATCCAGTTACTTCCTGTGATGTTTGTAAATGCATATTTTTTAAAAAATTGGGCTCTCTGTTACATAGCTTTTAAAAATTGACACATAATAGCTGTACATTGTCTGCTGTTTTGGTGCCTGTATCCAACGCCCCTCCCACCTATATTGATTTACAATAGTTGTACATATTTTAGGGGTACATGTGATATTTTGATACCTTTATACAGTGTGTAACGGTCAAATCAGGTTAATTAGGATATCTGTCACCTCAAATGTTTATCTTTGTGTTGAGAAGACTACAATTCTTCTAGTTATTTTGAAATATACAGAAAATCATTGTTAACTATAATTTCCTTACTGTACTCTCGAATACTAGAACTTATCTGCCAGTATTTTTGTACCCCTTAACCAACTTCTCTTCATCCCCTTGTAGTTGTTTTTTTTTTTGTTTGTTTGTTTTTTTTTTTTGAGATGGAGTTTTGCTGTTGTTACCCAGGCTGGAGTGCAATGGCGCGATCTCAGCTCACCGCAACCTCCGCCTCCTGGGTTCAGGCAATTCTTCTGCCTCAGCCTCCTGAGTAGCTGGGATTACAGGCATGCGCCACCATGCCCAGCTAATTTTTTGTATTTTTAGTAGAGATGGAGTTTCACCATGTTGTCCAGGATGGTCTCGATCTCTTGACCTCGTGATCCACCCGCCTCGGCCTCCCAAAGTGCTGGGATTACAGGCGTGAGCCACCGCGCCCGGCTTTTTTTTTTTTTTTTTTTTAATTAATAGGCTTTATTTTTTAGAGCAGTTTTAGGTTTAACAGAAAAAGTAAGCAGAAAGAACAGAGTTTTTTCTCCCCAGTTCCGTTTCCCCTGTGAAAAAATCTTGTGTTGGAATGATACATTTGTAACAATTGATGAACCAGTACTCATACATTATTATTAATGCAAGTCCCTAGTTTATATTAGGGTTCACTTATTTGTATTCTATAGTTTTATGGATTTTCCCAAATACATAATGTCAAGTATCTACTGTTACAGGATCATACAGAATGATTTTGCTGCCCTATAACATCCTTTGTGCTCCACTAGTTCATCCTTCCTCCCCAGACTTCCCCAACCCCATATAACCACTGATCTTTTTTTTTTGAGACAATCTTTCTTGTGCTGTCACCCAGGCTGGAGTGCAGTGGCACGATCTTGGTTCACTGCAACCTCTGCCTCCCAGTTCAAGTGATTCTCCTGCCTCAGCCTCCTGAGTAGCTGGGACTACAGGCACTCACCACCACATCCAGCTAATTTTTGTATTTTTAATAGAGATGGGGTTTCACTATATTGGTCAGGTTGTTCTTGAACTCCTGACCTTGTAATCCACCCACCTCGGCCTCCCAAAGTGCTGGGATTACAGGCATGAGCCACCATGCCCAACTACCATTGATCTTTTTAATTGTTTTTTATTCTGCATTTTTCACTTAACATTGTATCATGAAATTTTCCCAGGATGTATTAAGTATTCTCCAAAAACATGGTTTTGAAACTATGGTTTTGGAGAATACTTGGGAGGCTGAGGTGGCAGATTGCAGGAGCCGAAGGTTACTGTGAGGTATGATCGCTCCATTGCACTCCAGCCTGCGTGGCAGAGCAAGACCCTGTCTCAAAACAAACAAAAAAAGATTACCAATTTGGTAAACAAATTATAACGTTTCAGAGTTTTATTTTGTATCTGTCAGATTACTATAATTTGGGGAAATATTTGTTCATATCCTTTGCCTTTTTCTGTTGAGTCATTAGTTTTATTCATATAATGTATTTCTTTTCTTATAGATCCTTTTATCTTGCCACACCAGCAGGTTGATAAAGGAGCCATCAAATTTGTACTCAGTGGAGCAAATATCATGTGTCCAGGCTTAACTTCTCCTGGAGCTAAGCTTTATCCTGCTGCAGTAGATACCATTGTTGTATCCTTCCCAGGCTAAAACTGCTGAAAAATTCATTGTGCTCTTATCATTACTGCGAAAGATGTATCATCCAAGAGAACATTAGATGTACTTTTTTGAAGGTTTCTGTTATTCTTATCTCATGCCTTTCTGGGTACATTTGATGTTGTGCAAAATAATTTTATTTGTTGCTACTAAATTATCTCATCTTAGGTTGTTTCTTAGAAGTTAAATGAGAACAAGTTACAAAAGAGTCTCAGCTGCATTCCAGCCCAGTTAGGGCCTATTATTATCAGACTTAGGACACAACAGGGAATTCTTGATTACTAGAGAAACGGATATAGGTGATATAATTGCATCAGCTTTTTGGATGTCAACTTGCCACTGTAATGTTCATTTTGACTTACTGACATACACTGGAGTAAAAGCACTCAAAAGGGAAAATAATTTAGGTACCGGGTATAGGTATCTCTTCCCAAGCAACAATTTTATGTTAGGAGTGAGTAATGGGAAATATTGGCAACCTCCCAACTTTTATTTTGAAAATCAATTATGTGAAAATTTGGGTTTGGGGGCCTCAGAGCACGTTTTCTCAAAGAGAAATGTCAGAGTCCCACATAGTCCTTAAAGATCGATTCAACTCATGATATAGCTGAATAACTCTGCATTATTTCCATTTCTACTGTGCTGTTTCAGCTATATTCTGGATTAAATAGATTTTTGTGACTATTCTGGACAGGAGGCCATCTTCTCCTTTTTCATAGCCAAAGCAGCCATTTGCCTCAGATAGAGAAAAGGAATGGTACTTGGTGAGAATAGGGAAATTACTTTTGGAGTGCGTTTATTTTCTTTTTTGAGATGGAGTCTCACTCTGTTGCCCAGGCATGATCTTATCTCACTGCAACCTTTGCCTCCTGGGTTCAAGCAATTCTTATGCCTCAGCCTCCCTAATAGCTGGGATTACAGGCGCCCACCACCACGCCTGGCTCATTTTTGTATTTTTAGTAGAGACGGAGTTTCACCACTTTGGTCAGGCTGGTCTCAAACTCCTGACCTCAAGTCATCCACCCACCTTGGCCTCCCAAAGTCCTGGGATTACAGGCATGGGCCACTGTGCCCGGCTTGGAGTACTTGAAGTATGTTTAAGATTATATCCTGTGCTAAAAAAAACAAAAAACAAAAAACAAAAAACTCTGTTGGGCAAGGGGGCAAGGGGTAATATAAGTTGTATGTTTATATTCTAGGATCAGCTTATGTTGACATAGATGCTTTTTGCATCATAGGTGCTCAAATATTTGGAACACTGAATAAACAAATTGAAAACCAACGGAGAAAAGTGAGGACAGGTGTTTTTCATTGTTTTGTTTTGTTTCGTCTTAATATGTATAATTCCTGTAAGTGTTGGTAAGTTTAAAGTTCCCGAGTTTCCCTTAAATGGAAAATTTTCTTAGTACCCAGTTTTTACTTTTACAAATAATTTTTATTTTGAAACAGTTACAGATTTATAGAAAGTTGTAAAAAAGTGGTACAGAGAGATCTTGTGGACCCTGAATCTTGACTTTTTAAAATATGTACTGCAGTGTTTAACATTCCAGAAGCTTCAAATGTTAACCAAGACTACTCTGGTTGTTCTAGAAAGGTTGAAACTGTTTTATCAGGCTCTTAAAAATAGACTGGGAATTTAACTATTATTTTAAAGCATCCTTTATATAAAACCACCATTCAGACCAGGTGTGGTGGCTGACGCCTGTAATCCCAGCATTTGGGAGGCCGAGGTGGGAGTATCACCTGAGGTCAGGAGTTTGAGACCAGCCTGGCCAACATGGCGAAACACTGTCTCTACTAAAAATACAAAAATTAGCTGGGCATGGTGGAATGCACTTGTAATCCCAGGTACTAGGGAGGCTGAGGCAGGAGAATTGCCTGAACCCAGGAGGCAAAGGTTGCCGTGAGTGGAGATCACACCACTGCACTCTAGCCTGGGTGGCAGAGCAAGACTCAGTCTCAAAAAAACAAAACAAAACAAAACAAAACCAAAAACCCACCATTCAGTGATCAGAATACTAGAACAATTAATATTCTTTGATTTCACAGTTTTTAGTACGTATGTACAAGAACTTTTACTCCTTTTTTTGTGTGACTTATTCTTTTGTGTTGTTGGCATGGGGTTATAGTATTAACATTTAACTTTAAAGAAAAATGATTATGGCCGGGCGCGGTGGCTTATACCTGTAATCCCAGCAGTTTGGGAGGCCAAGGTGGGTGGATCGCCTGAGGTCGGGAGTTCCAGACTAGCCTGGCCAACATAATGAAACCCCCATCTCTACTAAAAATACAAAAAAGAAAAAAAATTAGCTGGGCATTGTGGCAGGTGCCTGTAATCCCAGCTACTTGGGAGGCTGAGGCGAGAGAATCGCTTGAACCTGGGAGGTGGAGGTTGCACTGGGCTGAGATCACGCCATTGCACTCCAGCCTGGGCAACAAGTATGAAATTCCATGTCAAAAAAAAAAAAAAAAAGTAAAAAGAAAAATGATTCTTAGATCTATTCATTTAGCATTTACTGAGTATTTACAGTATACCCACAGACTCTGCTAGGTCTCTGCTCTCAAGGAGTTAATCATCTAGGAGAAGATACAAGAGGGGTTTCAAGTGGCTTAACCAGTAACATGATCATTATTTGACACCCTTCCCTTGGTGGGGAGGCCCCATGGCATTTTGATAAATAGTTTTCTTAGCTATGTTCTTTCAGGCCATCATGGCAGAAGGAAAACAACATGCTCTATGTGTTGGAGTCATGAAGATGTCTGCAGAAGATATGTAAGTCTTACTTTAGGCCCCCTTAACTTTTGAGATATGGGTAACCAACCCAGGAAGCATCAGAATTACAGGTGAAATTAGCTGTCATGCATACTGCATTGTACAAATATCCAAGCACAGAAGCTTCATTTCTGATATTTCCTAACACTTAGGAAGCGTGAAACCTATTTTATCTTCAGAATTGTAGTCTGTCTTAAGCACTGAAAAGAACCCGTGTGCCAACACAGCTGTTTTGTATGTATGTGTGTGGTACTTTATTTTTATTTTTTTGAGATAGAGTCTCACTCTGTCACCCAGGCTGCAGTGTGATGCCACAATCTTGGCTAATTGCAACTTCTGCCTTCAGGGTTCAAGTGATTCTCCTACCTCAGCCTTCCAAGTAGCTGGGATTACAGGCGCACGCCACCATGCCGAGCTAATTTTTGTTATTTTTAGTAGAGATGGGGTTTCACCATACTGGCCAGGCCAGTCTCAAACTCCTGACCTCAAGTGATCCGCCCACCTTGGCCTCCCAAAGTGCTGGGATTACAGGCGTGAGCCACGGAGCCTGGCCATTACTGCTAGTTTTGAAAACGGATATAGCTCAAAAAAACAAAAACAAAAATAAAAACTGATAGAGCTCAGCACCACACAGTATTTATCTTGTATTCTGACCTGGTAGTACAAGAAATATAGAATATTTAGAGAACTAGTAAAGATAAATTACAAAACATAGGCAATATATTTAAAAACTTTAGAACCCATTTGATGACCAAATTAGTGTTAATAATTTTGTTTCAGGGTTAATGTAGCACTTTGATATTCCCCTAGTCTTGGGACATTGTTACTCTGCTTCTGTAGACCCATTAGTTAGATCACTAAAATCACTTTAAGATATAAGCTGCCACAGAGTAATGTAGTTTAATATAAACAACAATGTAATTGTGGTAGCAATAAGTTCTTTACTTGCGGCTTAATAATTATAAAATAACAATGTACTTTGAATCATATTTATCATAAGTAACACTATAAAGATGTATTAAACTATGTTTATATGTTTTTTTTCCCTTCTACAGTGAGAAAGTCAACAAAGGAATTGGCATTGAAAATATTCATTATTTAAATGATGGGCTGTGGCATATGAAGACATATAAATGAGCCTCAGAAGGAATCCACTTGGGCTAAATATGGATATTGTGCTGTATCTGTGTTTGTGTCTGTGTGTGACAGCATGAAGATAATGCCTGTGATTATGCTGAATAAATTCACCAGATGCTAAAATTCTGTTAGCTTCAGAAATTATTTTAAGTTTTCTTAAATTCAAGTTAAAATTGGGTAGCAAACTTGGACATTAAAAGGTATCTGCTCAGTAACCAAACTCAGACAACTTAATGTTCTTCATCAGGCTAATGATAAAAGAATGAAGAGCAGGACTTGATCAATGGATTGCCACTGTATGGTAGACCTCTAGAGAAACTGTCTAGTAAATGGGGCTAGAAACTAGACTAGGAATTTCATTCTGTTCTCCAGGGGACCCAGCAGTGCTCCTTCTCGTGTGTGTGTTTTGTTTGTTGTTGTTTTTTTAAACCTTTTTATTATGGAAAATTTTAAACATATTCAAAAGTCTGGAGAATAGTATAATGGACCTTTCCACATATATCACTCAGTTTCAGTTTATGGTTAGTCTTATTTCATCTGTACCTGACTTACTTTTCCCCACTCCCCAGTTATTTCAAAGCAAATGCCAGACATCCAATCATTTCATCCATAGCTACTTTATTCTTTCTTTTTGAAACAGGGTCTTGTGCTGTTGCCCAGGCTGGAGTGCAGTGATGCAACCTTGGCTCACTGTAACCTCTGCCTCCTGGGTTCAAGCTACTCTTGTGCCTCAGCCTCCTGATTAACTGGGATTACAGGTGTTTGCCACCATGCCCAGCTAATTTTTGTATTTTTGGTAGAGATGAGGTTTTACTATTTTGGCCAGACTGGTCTCGAATTCCTGGCCTCAAGTGATCCATCCCCGCTCAGCCTCCCAAAGTGCTGGGATTACAGGCATGAGCCACTGTGCCTGGCTAATTTTTGTATATTTAGTAGTTGGCCAGGCTGGTCTTGAAATCCTGGCCTCAAGTGATCCACTCCCCTTCAGCATCCTAAAGTGCTGGGATTACAGGCATGAGTCACCATGCCTGGAGTCATAACTACTTTAGTATCTATCTTTAAAAATTAACAACCCCTACATCATTATGACACCTAAAAAGTATCTGTTTCTTAATATGATCAGCTGTCTAGACTGTTCACATTCTCTTGTCTCTTCTTAAATGTTGGTTTGTTTGAAATAGGTACCACACAAGGTTCATACATTGGATTTGGTTGTTATTTATTGAAGTATATTTAATTTATAAGTTACCTTTTCTTTTCCCCTTTAAATTATTTAAGAAATCTAGTTGTTTTGTCTTTAAAGTTTCCACATATATTCTGGATTTTGTTGATTTTATCACTGTGACGTCATTAACTTGTTTTTATGCCTCTTGTATATCCTGTAAACAAATAAGATTGATCACATTCAAGTTCAGTTTTTTTAGTGCCTTCTTTTGAGTAAAGTCATACCAAACAGATGCCCAGAACATCTAGATTTAGGTCCCCACTGGATTCCTCAAAGAATGTATATTTCCTATAAGTGGAATATGAGGGACATGGACCTGCTTTAGTAAGAATAGTAATCTGTTTTGGGAGTTAAAAGAGCAGTTGTGGATTTATTTATTGATAAAAATCATTTTTCTTCCTAATTGCCTTGCTGTTATTCTAGTGTCTTAGCCATCTTCATTTGGTTGTTTATCAGTATATGACATGTGATTTTATTTTTCAGATGGATACAGACATTTACAAGATTGTGGTGACCTGTGTTACAGTTAGAAGTTGGTGAGAAAGGTGATGGTGGATAGTAAAAAGAGAGATCATTTGGCTGGCTGTTCCAGCTGGGTTTCCCAGGATGCAACATAGATGTCCATAGATCCAGGGTCTGACCCTCAGCTTGAGAAACCACTTCCCACTGATGAAACTTGTAAGACTTGGAGATTCCCCAGTTAGAATATAAATGTATTAATTCATGGTGATAGGTCTGCCTACGGTAAACAATTAGGAAACAGGAAGTTTCTTGGTAAACAGATACGAGCAAAGGAAGGTTGATAAATTGGGGTAATATTTCAGTTCTGCTGAGGTAAGACTTGGATAATTTTTCCTGCTTCATCGTTAATTAGAATGCTTATTTCTGCCAAAATCTTGTCTCTTTCCTAGCCCATGTAGTTTTCCTTTTGTTGTGACAGTTTTATTCTGCAGCTTACCATATTTATTCCTGGTCCATAAAAGTATAAATAATCTCATCAGTAGCTCATTTGTAAGTCATCTTCCAGGGAGGTTTCTTCAACAGATAGTTTCATTTTTTGCTGACTTACTGGCTTCAAATTCAGATGTCTCCCTGTTTGGGGAAGGAGGTACCCTATTTGAGGCCTTTAGTTCCTTATGTTCTTAAAAAGAGAATACATGAGTCATTTATGTCAAAATCAAGCTTTAAGCCTTTATTTATGGTGCTAAAATAACGTTACTTGACCAAGATTGCCTATGGAGTATTAACAATGGAAAACAAAGCACACATACACACATTAGAGAAGTAAAACTTTTAATAGCTTCGTTTTTGAAATAATTCATCCTTGTGTCTAACCACTGTTACAGTGGATATAAGGAACACTTTTTAAATATTCAACATCAACATCTGTGCCTGTTTTTCTACTGTGCTGAGGTACACTGTGTTGCCTTGGTGATATGGACTAAATATGTATGTTCCCTGCTTCCCCTGAGTCTGAGACCTCTGCTGTTCACTGTTAATCAGGGATGTCACTCTACATGTATGAACCTTGTCATTTTCTTTCTTTCTTTTTTTTTTTTTTTAGACGGAGTTTCGCTCTTGTTACCCAGGCTGGAGTGCAATGGCACGATCTCGGCTCACTGCAACCTCCGCCTCCTGAGTTCAGGCAATTTTCCTGCCTCAGCCTCCTGAGTAGCTGGGATTACAGACACGCGCCACCATGCCCAACTAATTTTTTGTGTTTTTAGTAGAGACGGGGTTTCACCATGTTGACCAGGATGGTCTCGATCTCTTGACCTCGTGATCCACCCGCCTCGGCCTCCCAAAGTGCTGGGATTACAGGCTTGAGCCATCATTTTCTAAACATTAGGTCATGTGTGAAAATTCAAAGAGATTAAACTAGCAGATATATCAGGGTCTTTAGATATTGTGCTTAAGGGAAACTTAGTTTACCCATATTCCTGAGAGTAGGTATACAGGGATAGAGAGCATGCCTCTCTCAGGCAGTGTGTCTGTAGTTCATTTTTGGTTTCAAAATTAAGTCTGTGTCAAACCAACCTACAATCTAGTAATCTTTATGTATTGGACTCACTTTTACTCAGACAAAGTCAGTTCAGCTCAATAGATATTTATTATCTACTGGGTTGTAAGTGACATGGCATGAAGATGAATAATACAGAAGTAGCCCTTGCCCTTAAGGAGCTTCCGGTCTAGTGAGTAAAGAAAATTTACATTTTAAATAATCTGGGTAATAGTGACAGGCCAATACTAATATATAAAGCCAGTAGGAATATACTAATACTTTTCCAATTTTAGTCATCAAAAATTGTAAATTGTAAATGAACTAAATATAATAATATTCCATAGATTGTATGCAACGTGAGGTTAAAAAAAATCCCAGATGTCTTGGAGTTGCAGAGATTCAGCATTCCAACTCAGATGATTGTCATGTTGTCCAGTAGCATAATGGCCTGATCCGTTCTCTTCTAGCAGAGTGTCTGTTATGGTGATTTGGTAGTGGTCTGTTGGCAAGCTGCATTTTTTCTTTTCTTTTTTTATGCTCTGGACCCAAGCAAAAATAGCTGGATTTATCCCATGGGTAGTCATTCATGTTTCCAATTTTAGGGATTTTATATTCTTCAAACAGAAGGGTATATGGCATTTGTTAAATATTGACTAAAGGCCGGGCGCGGTGGCTCACGCCTGTAATCCAAGCACTTTGGAGGCCAAGGTGGGCGGATCACCTGAGGTCAGGAGTTCAAGACCAGCCTGACCAACATGGTGAAACCCCGTCTTAAAAAATAATAATAATAATGACTATATGTAGCCAGGTTCTTCCTCTGTACACAAATCAGTAACCAAAGATATAGTATTTCTAAGTATAATACTTGAGAGGAAGACATAAGAATTACAGTTCTCCAAATTTGTGGAGGTATTTCATTATAATAAGTATTCACTTAATAATGTCACAATTATATATTTATGGAAATATGAATATATGCCCAAGCAACATGTAAATATTTTGTTTACCTAGGTTCCTTAATTTTGAGAATATAACTATCAAGGCTCTTCAAGAAACTCAAAATGATTCCAATTTCTTTTTTTTTTTTTTTTTTTCGCTCTTGTTACCCAGGCTGGAGTGCAATGGCATGGTCTCAGCTCGCCGCAACCTCCGCCTCCTGGGTTCAGGCAATTCTCCTGCCTCAGCCTCCTGAGTAGCTGGGATTACAGGCACGCACCACCATGCCCAGCTAATGTTTTGTATTTTTAGTAGAGACGGGGGTTTCACCATGTTGACCAGGATGGTCTCGATCTCTTGACCTCGTGATCCACCCGCCTCAGCCTCCCAAAGTGCTGGGATTACAGGCTTGAACCACCGCGCCCGGCCAATGATTCCAATTTCTAAGGAGTATCCATTAAAACTTAAGTATAATGAAAGAAAACCAGTGAAAATGTATGCATCCTATGTCAGTTTAACCATCACTTCTGAGGTCTCAAGCAATCAGAAACTTGAGTAAGTTATTCAATAACATGTAAGAATTAGGCCATTAAGATATGTTTTGGAAACCCTGTAGAACACTTATTAATCATATTAAGGCAGTAAAATTAGACTATACTCAATATCAAAGTGTTTCAGAAGCAGTTTCTAAAGAATCATACTTGTCATCATAGAGACTGATACATGTAAATTCATTGTATTGTACTTTTTTATACTTGTATGTATTTTATACTTTGTATATTTTATTACACATTTTTAACACAGGTAAAAGAATGAGCAGATATTATCAACTATAACACCAATTTGTTGAATATTGTTTTAAAACAAAGTAAAGGACCACAACTCCACCAGATCGGGAATTAATGAACAAAATTGAGGGCCAGTTTTTATATCATTGTTGAGACTGTTAGGTTCATTTGTCTG